GTAAGCTGCCTTGAGTTTGGGCATTGGTGATGAGAGCAGACAATAATTCAGCAACCATGATGAACAAGTAGGGGGACAAAGGGTCCCCCTGTCTGATTCCTCTGGAAGGAGTAATATAGCCACTGACCTTACCATTCACTTTGAAAGAAATTGATGATGTTGAGATACAAACCATTATCAACTTCACAAAGTCCAGATGGAACCCCATTTGAATCATTATTCTCTGGATGCTTGGCCATTCAACCCGGTCAAAGGCCTTCATAAGGTCTAACTTCAAGGACATGAAGAAATTCTTCCCTGATGAGTGTCTGTTCAAGAAGTGGAAGCTTTCTTGAGCAATTATTATGTTGTCCATGAGTTGTCTGCCTTTTATAAAAGCTGACTGATGAGGGCTGATGCAGTTACTCAGGCAGACCATGAGTCTTTGGGCTAGCACCTTGGAAAGTGTCTTATAGATCACACTGCATAGGCTGATCGGCCTGAATTGAGCCAAAGTTTCAGGTTGAGATATTTTTGGAATCAGAGATATTATTGTGTGGTTCCAGTATTGCAATATGGCTCCAGATTGGAAGAAACTGAGAATGGCTGCAAACACATCATCTTTGACCAAGGTCCAGAAATGCTGGTAGAAAAGTGCATTCATGCCATCCTCACCAGGGGATTTATCAGAGGGCAGAGAGAACAAGGCAGTCTTCACTTCTTCTTCAGAAACAGTCTTCAGAAGACTCTGGTTCATATCATCTGAAATAGTCTTAGGAATGAGATTAATGATTGACTCTCCATCCAGGCTTCCTTCTGAGGTAAACAAATCTAAGTAGAATTCAGCTATATATGATGTTCAATGTCTTCTTGAGAAGTGAGGGCAGATCCAGTAGGGGTTAGAAGTCTAGTAATGGCTTTAGCTTCCTTTTCTGAAGAGTATATGCATGGAAAACTTTCGTGTTGCCATCACCTTCCTTTAACCATTTCAGTTTTGACCTTTGTTGCCAATGGAGCTCTTCCTGTCTATGGGCTGCATTAAGTTCAGCTCTTGTGTTGTTCCATTGTTCCCAGTAGTCTTCAGCTTTATCTTTCCTCAACATCTCCAGCTTCTTGGTTAACACTTCTATTGTTTGCTGATTTTTGGATCTAAACTGAGAGCTCCAAATGAGCAATGCAATTCTGGTGTTCTTCACTTTTTCTTTGAGCTGGTAAAAAAGTGTCCCTGATACTGGTTTGTTCCATGCTGCTGACACAATCTCTTGAATTCCATCCATTTCTAGCCATCTCTTATCAAAATAAAATCTTGCTGGGTTCCTTTGTTGTGTTTGTCTCTGGCTGAGTAGAAGCATTGAGTGATCAGAGGCACTTTTAACTTTAGTGCAGACTACAGCATTGGGGTATTCTAGAATCCATTCACTTGTTGCAAATGCTCTGTCATGTTTTTCCTCCACTAGTCCTTCTTCTCCCCTGAGGTTGCACCATGTGAATTTATAGCCTTGCATTTGTATCTCCTCCATCTCCATGTTGTTTATAAAGGTGTTAAATCCCCTGAGACTGCTAGCACTCCTCAATAAACCTCCTGATTTTTCTTCCCTCGTGCATAGGTCATTCCAGTCTCCCAAAGCAAACCACTTGTTGCCCCAGCAGGCTTTGTCTCTTTTCAATTCTTCCCATTGAAGGGTCCTGTTCTGCTTACAAGGGCTCATATAAACAAAAATTCCCCACTGAGATGGGGTCGAATCCATTTCAAATTCAACAGCTATATAGAAAGATTTTTTAATAATGCTGATAATAGTTACATTGGAATCCCATAGAAGGAGCAAACCTCCACTAAGACCAATAGGATCAACAAAAGAAAATCTATCTACATATCCCAACTTCCTAGCTACAGATTGCACAAAACCATTATTTTTTTTTTTTTGTTTCTGATAAAAAGAAAAATGAGGGATGATGAGCCTTGATGGTCTCTCTGATTTGGGAAATTGTAGAGGGCCCACCCAGCCCTCTACAATTCCACACCGCAGCTAACATTTAGGGTTTGGGTGCCATATGAGGCTGGCATCCCCCACCTGTTCTTGTTTGCCTTTAAGTTTCTTGTTTGCTTCTGAGCCAGAAGGGTTCTGGTCTGAGAGATGAGGAGGAGTTGGAGAAACTTCTCTTGGTCTCTTAGTAGCTGGGTTGTCTTGGATCATCAGCTCTAGCCCTTCATTTCTTTGGAGTCTCCCTTCCCTACTCAAAGCCCTTTTCCAAGTTTTCTTCTTAGAATCTTGAGACAGTTTTATTGGTTTAATAAGATTGACCTTCACTTGAACTGGGGATGGAGGGGATTGAAGTGCTAGTTCCAGATCCATCATCTTGTTCTGATGCTGATCCTCCACCTCTGTGATACTTAAGTCTAGTGACTTTGTGACTGGAGATGGTGGTGTCTTCCTGGCTGATGAAAGAGGGATTGGTGTTACCTCCTCGTGGATAGAATTTGATGCCACTGTATCTGGTTGAGAGTGGTTGGAAGGAGGATTATCAACCTGGATAATTTGCTTCCCCTTGTCACAGAGATTTGAAGGATTCCTGAGAGGAGAGCTTGGATTTGGAACCTTGCTAGATGATGGGGATCTAGAACCAGAGAGGCCTGTGTCTACCCAATTCTGGCCCTCCATGGCTTTTATCCAGTCTCCATACTGACCTTCTTTAACTGTGCTGGTTTTAATGGCTTCCATTCGTTTCTTACAGTTTCTGTCTAGATGGCCAATTAGCCCACAATAATAGCAAAGGTTGTGCAGCATATTTGAATCCCAGACTAATGATTTCATCTTCCAGTTGGATATTGGTGCACCGTGGGAGTGGTTCTGCTATATCCAAAGCTACCAACAATCTCATTATCCTTCCTCCATGGGGACCTGAGCTGGCTATGACCACATTCTGAACTGACTTAAAAATCTTCCCTATCTTTAGGCCAACCTCAGTGCTAAGGCAGTTAATTGGAAGGTTCCATACCTGCACCCATAGATTTATTGCTTGAAACGCTGGATGGTTGCTTGTCAATCCTTTTTCCCATTCCTTCAATATTATGTACTGATTTTCAAAGCTCCAGCTAAATCCATCAGCCACTTTCCTCATATCCTCTTTGCTCTGAAAGACAAATTGAAAGAAATTGTATCCCAATTCCTTGACTTCCATCTGATGCTGCAGCCTCCATATGTGGCTCATAGTTTTCTTGATGCCCAACCATCCTGCTTTTCGATCCCCTATTACTTTGCCAAAGAGGCTTCTTTGGCAATCCTCCGAGCAGACTTTGATGTCTTCACTTGCAATGCCAGTTATTAAACTCTCCTTATCTGAGAGTGAAAACCTCTTTATTCGTTTCGATAGATCTTCGTCGTGACCAATACAGCTCGGCTCCGCCATTATTAGGGCTTTGAGCTTCAGTTGAATTCAGTGTTGACACAGAAACAGACCAATATTGTCAATGAAAAAGACTCCAGATTATGAATCGAAAAACTCTGAGTTTGCTCCCACCTGAGAGAATCGCCGGAACTGCTCTCACTTGAGAGAATCAGTTGGAAAGATATACAAAGTATTTTTATTAACCAAATTCCTATTAATCTTTATTTAATATTTAAATGTGAATATATATATATATACACACACACATTTAAATAGTCGTGCAAAATTGAAAGAACATGTAAATGCGTTTTAATTGACTTGGAATATTTAAATGCTAATACGAAAGTTGTGGTGCGTTTTAATTGACTTGGAATATATTTTTTTTTTGTTACAATAATCTGTTTTTAATAAATCACATCTACATAACTAAAAAATATAGATGTTTAACAAATGCCTATAATATAGGTGTTAAATCACGGAGGATGCAAATATTAGCAAATGTAAAAATAAATAGATGTTTAAGAACGTGTTTCTCTGTTTTGCAGTATTGTTTTCTCTAGACGAAGTGAAGAAGCCGTTCTAAAGAAAGGATGGAGTTATATAGGATTCTACTAATTTGTTTGTAATCCATTTTTTTGGTCAATTGGTGTATTATTTTATGTAAAATTATTGTGTATTATTTGCGTTACGTACAATCCGATATATTTGATATACATAATCGCTTTAAAAAAAAGGAAGTGATAAAAATTGGATTAGGCTAAAAAAAAGGAAACGGAATTTTGGCTAAAAAAAAGAAAATATTGATATAGCAAATCGCATACAATTGCATGACCGGGAAAAAGACTATTTCAAACAATTTACGAAATATATAAGCGGGAAAAACCCTATTATGAAGCGGGAAAACGAAATATTTTTTTTTGGAATTTTTTGAATAATTTTTCTTAACTCTATTATATAGTAATAGATTTTTTTTGGAGGGAAATAGTTACTATTTAAAAAATAATCAAACATTTTTATATATACTAGTACAGTACCCGTGCGATGCATGGGAGGATTTATTACCTACTTGCTTTATAAAAGGTATTTTTGTATTTAAATTGTCTCATGTCATTAAAAATATCAAGAAAATAAAATTTATATTATATTGAACATTCTCTTATGTACAAAAATGAACTGATTTTGTTACCAAAAAATGTGGATATGATTTTCAATACATATCCCATCCAAATCTCAAATTTGTTTTAAAATAATAATTACACGTGGTTTTATCCAATTTGCACACATTTTTTGAAAAAAAACTATTAAAAAAGTATTGAAAGAATTTGTTAAGTATTACAACTATTTGTTTCCTAAATTGGTATCCAATTGCACGGTTTCTAAATTAAATTGTATTTGGATTTATTTTCATAAATAATTCATATATTTTTTGCATAAGAATCTCCAAATTTGTTATAAAAAAATGAGATTCACATTTTGGTAAAAAATAAATAAATAATACAAAAAAAATGGGATTCCGATTTTGACCTAAAAATCTCTAAATTTGTTACCAAAAGAATGAGAATCAGACTTTGCTGGATTTATGTACATCATGTGTTGATGAACTAACATATCTTAAATATAGGCCTATGAATATGATGGAAATTCCTACAATGTGTGAACGCGTAATATGATGGTGTTTATGTTGACTGAGCACATAATGTTGAGATTGATATGATAAAATTTATAACATGTATTTTGTTTTCCAATTTCATTGTGGTACTATGGACTGAACTACACACTTTGTTGGGAACCAATGTAGCTAACAAAAGTTGGATTGATGCTTAAGACATGCAAGTTTCAAGTTTTGCATTTGGTTAATATAAATTTTGTTCACAATTCTCAACAAACTTTAATTCTTACTTTCAACGTATTAATTTTGCTTATACAATTTATCATGTATGAGGATAAGTGAGATGGTACAGAAATCGACAAGATCAAGAAGGCGACCATCAAAACATATAACATCCTTTTAGCACATAACCCTAACCCATAGCAGATACAATAATCAAACAATTGCTTATATTTATTTTATGTTGAGAAACATAAAATTTATACCTTTTGCAGGAAACAAATTGCTTACTTAATTCCCTGTCATCATATAATATTTGTCAAACATAAAATTGGTACATTTTTCCTTATTTTCAGCAGTCAATATTTTTCTTCTCGACTTCTGATCTTTGTTGGGATGAACAGAATCTGCACCATGCATGTTATTTGATTCATCCATTGGTCGTTTGTTTCCTTTATTTTGATTGTTTTTGGGATGACCGTTGTCTGTACTTATCTTCCTCATAACTGATATTTTTGCAAATAACTGTGTAGCATCACACGACGTGTCAAAATATTTTCAAACTGAGATGGATTTGGCCAAGTCATAAAACATAAAACTCTAGTAAGAATTGCAAAACATAAACAAAACATATTGATGCTATAGAAATCTTAGTACTTTATCTGGTGCGCCTATGTGGTTATAATAGGACAGATTCAACAGTGATTTATATTGGGGAAAAAAATTCATCTCAGACTGCTGGGAGGTCATTTGGTTGTGTTGTAGAAATATGGACAAAAAATTCTTCATATACTATTATACGTAATTTATAGGATAAATAATTTTTAAAATGGCTGAGATTATGTCAATCTCCAGTATATTATTTTCAAATTGTTATTTCTTAATTTTATTTGTTAACTTATCAGTAATATGAGAAAGTATAGATGCTCTAGGATTCTAAATAACTAAAATGAATAAGATTCGTTATTTGTTAGGATTATGTTAATATGTTATTAAAATACACGACTAACCAAGTTATGGAACTTTAGTGAAAGGTTGAATTTTCTAAAGATTTACACACACGCACACATACACTATCTATATATATATATATATATATATATATATAGAGAGAGAGAGAGAGAGAGAGAGAGAGAGAGAGAAGGGATCATATGAGAATGGTTGATAGTGAAAGAAATAAGAATGATTGTGAACCATTAGATCTAACATATTAATGGTCATGATAGAGTCAAAGTTAGTAATAAAAGTCAAACTCATTAAGGGTAATTTAGTTATTTCATATACATTAAGGGTACTATAGTCATTTTAAATAACAAACTTACCCTACCTACTTTTATCTCTCTCACATAAATTCACACACAAAATTCAGATTTTTCTACAAAACACATGCTCACACGCAGTTAACACACACAGTAACTCACACGCTCATTGATCTCTTCAGCCGCCCAACTCTGCTTCCGCCATCGCCGCGCCGCCGCAGACAGCAGCAGACCAAAACCCATCGAGATCTTCGCTAATTTTTCTGCGAGCTCCGCTGACAAGGTCGCCTGACGTCGGCCCCGACGTCCGTCGCGCCTCAAACTTCCATCGCCGTTCGACGCGCCACAGATTGGTATACCTGCCCGAAATATCTCCGACGACCGTCCAGTTATCTGTCACCATCACCCACCGCACTTCAGCCCACCCCCGCCGCTCGCCGCGCCACAGAAGACGGCCAGAACAATAAAATCTCCGGCGATTTATGACGATTTAGATGGACTTTGAGAACGCCGCCGTCCGGAGGAGAATCGATTTTTGGGCTGAGATTTTCTGATTTACAGATTGATTTTTGGATTGTGGGGCTTTAGTTGGAGAATTTGATATGTTTAAGGGGTCAATTTGCAATTTTTTTAAGTTTTAATGTATCTCAATTTGGTACATGTGGCAGATTGGTGGTTTAACAAAAGTTATAGGGGGTTGAATGAAAGCTGTATTATTTCTAATATATTACGATTTGGTTCACGGGTCATATTTCGTAATTAATCAAAATATAATTATTATTTAATACTTTTATATTTTCATTGTTGAATCTAACAATATTATTATAGAAAAGTGAAAATAACAATAATATGTTTATATAATTTGTACATTTGGTTAGTTTGACTATTTAATTAATAAAAAAAATTAACATCGATCGGAAAATTTTAGTTATGTTGTTTTCATTCGATATTGTGCAATATGTTAGTCATTAATGTGCAACTTGTATAACCATAACGTGCACTCGTAATACATAAATATATATATATATATATTATTTTTTATATAGATCGATAATTTCAGTTATATTGATTATTTTTAGAAAATAAATCCGATATTGAACTGAAATAAGTGTGGTTTTAAAATAAAAAGATTTATCGAACCAATATATAAAATTTTTAATCGAAAACTCTAATTCGGTCGGTTTTGCTTTCGCTATCTATTGTGCAATCTGCTAGTCGCGATAAAGTGCAACGTCTTACTTTAAAAAGTGCAACGTGTTGTTTCATATAGTGCAATGCGCCGATATATAAATTGCACTATCAAAATTTTAGTATGTTAGCATGCTTGTGTTTTTTTTTTTGTGGACATATGATGTGATGGATGCTAAAATATATTATGTCGTGTTGTATTTATGTGGGAGCTATTGTCCATTTTTTTAGATTTATGTTGCATGATATTCTGGAGGAAGCTATCGAATTTAATGGTAGAGTGTGATAATAAATTGCACCATGTTGTTTTATAAAGTGCAACGTGATGTTTTATAAAGTGCGCGTGTTGTTATATTAATTCAATACTTTATATAATCTCATATAAAATATGTGAATTCTAATTAACCAAAATAATTTAAAATATTTTATTATTTATTATTATAAAAGTATATTTAGTATTTTTGATATATTTTTATCTTGAAAACAACATCGACGTTAATTGTGGAGTGTGATGATGGTAAAGTGCACCTATAGTTTTATAAAGTGCAACATGTTGTGCTATAAAGTGCAACGTGGTGTTTTATAAAGTTCCCGTGTTTTTATATAAAATGCAATACTTTATAAATTATGTGTATTCGAAAACTAGTTTTAGTAAATATAATTGTACATCGAGTTAACCGAAATAATTTAAAATATTTTATTATTTAGTATTATAGAAGTATATTTAGTATTTTTAATATACTTTTATATTGTTTTTTGGTAAATTTAGTGATTACTAGACCCCGAATCCTTCGGAAATTTCCCATGTTATAGTATATTATATAACTAATTGTTAACTTAGTAACTTCCAAATGATATTTAACTAAAGGCAACACACTTTCTCATATCAAATATGGCTGAATTAATTATATATACATATAATCCATATGAGTTTGTAAAATAATATAATTTATATTTGTATAAAAAAATGTATATATAAAAATTGTGAATTTTGCAATGAGGTCCCTCGAAATTGTCCAATTTTCAAAATCAAACCCACTACAAATCCAATTCAACCTGCGATGAGCTTCAAATCCATGGGGAAACTCAAATTTGGGAAGGGACATCACCTTTCTGTTTTTCGACATTCTCGAACCCATCAGACCTCACGCTTCACGTTCATGGCGGCGCCATCAAAATCAGTGTTTTGTCTGTAGGGGGATGTTCTACGGCAGTGTTCAGTGACTGCGACGGCCGGAGGAAGGTCGCAGAGAAGGAAAGAGCTTGTGTCGGGCGGTAGGTCGTGGAAATTTTTCCGTGTGAGGACACGGTCTCGTGGAGAGCTTCTCGCCGGATTCATTATTAGATCCTCAATTTCACGGTGGAGAGCTTCTTGAGTATGCCGATCTAATTTCTCTCGTCTCGTAGCACCGGCTAGACAGCGACAACAGCGGCTGCGGTCGGGACGATTCTAGCAGTCGCCGGCGACCAGTTGCGAACCGGTGATGGCAATCTGTGGTGGCGCAGTGTGTGTGCGTTTGTGTGAGAGAGCGAGAGAGGCGGAGAGGGGAACAGAGGAGGCGAGCAGGAAATTTGTTTCCTGCGGACGACTAGTGACGGGGGACAGGGGAGCTGTTTCCGGTGGGTGAATTAGTGCTGCGTTGCGTGTGTGCTAGTGTGTGTGAGATCAGACTGCGTGTGGAGCTTTTTACATTCTTACCCTCATATGTTAAGATCAGATTGCGCGTGAGATCAGATTGCGTGCCGTATTGACTATCAGACTGTGTTGATCTTGTGTACCTAATTCATTCTTATTTCTTTCGCTAAGAGTCATTCTCACCGGAACCCAACCCTATATATATATATATATATATATATATATATATATATATATATATAGTTAGGATCCAATGAGAATGGTAGATAGTGAAAGAAATAAGAATGAATCAGTACCATTGGATCCATCATATCAATGGTTAGAATTAAGTCAAAATTAGTTAATGTCAGTCAAACAGGTTGTGGCAATTTCGTAATTAAATGGTCATATTGTGGTCAAATATATTCATTTTACCACACATTAAGGGTATATTAGTCAAAACAAGATCTACATATCAACTAGTGGGCCCCACACAACCCACACCTATCTCTCTCACACACTCACACACACCTCAAGAACTCAGCAGACAACACACACCAACCAGCCGATGCACCACCTCCACCACCACCTCCGGCAGTCGACTTCTGACCATCACCACCGATACACCGGCTGATTTTATCACTCTCGCAACCAACCAATAGCAGCCGCGCCACCAACCTCCACCAGCCCCACCACCAACCGCCACCAGCTCAGCCCCCAACAAACACCACTCCAGCCTCCAACCACTAATAGACCCGCCGCAGACTCGAAACACCACCGACCCCGCCATCTACACCAACCAACACCATCCCGGCACAACCGCGAACAGATCCGCCACCGCACAGCCACGTCGCCGCCGCACAACCATCGTCTGTAATTATCCACCACCGGCATCTAGCAGCTCCGACCACCACCATTCAAGCCAACAACCACCATCATCCCCGCCATCGACAACAACAATCAACAGCCCTGCCATAGCAGCGAACAAACCCGCCGCCGGAGAGCCACGTCGCCTCCGCACAACCACCGTCTGTAGTTATCCACCACCAACATCTAGCAGCTCCGACCACCACCATTCAAGCCAACAACCACCACCATCCCCGCCATCGACACAAAAAAACAACAGCCCTGCCATAGTAGCAAACAAACCCGCCGCCGGAGAGCCACCGTGTGCAATTATCCACCACCGACGTCTAGCCTCTCAGTCGCTCCAGCCAACACTACATCTCCTTCAATCATCGTCGCTGATGTTGTCCGCGCCATCCATCTCCTCTCCGCGTGTCGCCGGTCGAATTCAGATGTCCAAGGTCCCACTGACAAGATTGTTATAAACTGGGTGCAGAAATTACACGGGATTCCTACGAACTGATATGTATTTTCAGTTCTTACAAATAATCTAAAATAGAAAATTACAATTGAACTGAAAAATAAAATACAACTGAAAAAATAAAAGCAGAAAGATTTTAGCCGAGGCGAGTAAAACTCTTTCCGCAAGAAGAATACACCCCGTGTGTTACTAACGGTTCAGACGTAACTTCCCCAAAGATACAACGGCAAATGTCTCTAAATCTGTAGCACACCAGATTTACGAGCTCCGACGAACTAGAACGGAGTCAAGAATTGAACACTAAAAAATAGGAATAAAAATATCACCCTGATATTTTTTTCTCTATTTTTATCACTAATATTTTTATCCCTCAAATATTCTTTTGGACTGAATATTTTATATCTCTCTTTCTTTTCTTTCTCCCTTTCTTTCTCTCTATTCCTTTTTCTTTCGTATATTTCCCTTCTGCTGAAGACCTCTATTTATAATGAGAGCATAGCTTAACAAGTTGGCACAAGTTGGCCAACTGTCTACTCGTTTTCTTCAAGTGGGGCAGCTGTCTACGCGTATTCTCCTTTTCCTTCATGTGGGGTGGTCATAATTTTATTATTATTATTGATGGTGTGCATAGTGATAAGGCACACAAACCAATACATAAGAATAGCTAATACAGAAGCTGAGCAAATGACCATATTGAGAATTGGTTCAAGTGGGTGGGTCCCGCTCAATAAAAACTTTCCACTCAATAATTCTTACAATCCCCTACACGACTGGAAATTTAATATATATGTACTATTGTGCTCAATTCTCACAAAACTCTATTGCATCAGAGAAGGTAGCTTTTGGCTTTGAACCTTTCTTAGTAAACATCATCAGATGCACTGGCGGACTAGTGGACATAATGCCTTGAACTATTCCTCCCTAGTGTACACCGAGACAATGACATTCACACAATAGAGTCTTAATCCCATTCCGTTTTATCGTTGTGTCCGTTTTGGCCATGGACAACATTTTGGATTCATAAGTGTTTACATTTGAAGCGGCCCACATTTCACACTTGTATAAGTGACCTCCCTATCAAGAGTATCCTGTCATACTCCACCTTTACAAGGTTAGGGATTCATTAAAAGTCCATATGACTTACCCTCACCACAATCAACAGGTCATCTTGCACTTGGAGTGCTCTAGGGAATAGCTTTGGACATTCATATGTTCCAAGTGCTCAACTGAATTTTCATAGCTTAGTTTTCCCTTTGAACCAAGTTCGTGGGATGTCCACTCAGCATGGTAGGGTTACCACTATGATCATTCTTTTCATTGTGAATTTTTAAGCCCAT